AATTCATATTTTGCTAAATAATTTCCACATTTTGCAGCTAATGTACGAGTATGAACTGAACCGTTTGTACCAGCTTTGGTGGTTCTGCTGCGAAGTAAAACTGACCACAAAGATAGCATCTTAGGTCTCAGAAGGCAATTAAAAAGAAATTAACTCAATTTTGTGTTGTCTGCTTTTTTCCCGTGTTTATTTTGAGAAAGGTTTCTTGGAAACTCCCACTTTTTAATTGCACCAAATGCTTATTTTTGACTCTTTTTTTTCTGCCTTTTCCACTGGTCTGCAAAATGCTACAGATGCTATCAACAATGATGTCAGTGTGGCTATTTCTGCCTTATACACAAACACATATACACTGATCTGGTGCGTGTATAAATAATTCACATAGGTCAGGCTTTGATCCTCTGATACAGCCTCTCGGATTGCCAGTGGTGGCAGGAAAACCAGTAGATTGAAAATGAGGAATGCATCAAGGGGTGTGCTGTTTACTTGTAGCGCAGGCAGCTGGTTAGCCACCCCTCTGCCGTTTTACACCCCCCTCCCTCGCTTTTCAATTCCAGCCAGACCCCAGGCTCGGCTACTAACTGGGGGCTGGAATATTGTGCACTGGGGATCAATGCGGCCCTGAGTGAAATGTCAACTGTGGCCCTGCGATGTGTCAGGCTGTGAGGGAGTTGTAATGGCTATTGATCCACTGTGCGCTTAATGCAGAGCTGCCCCGCCACGATGTGAGCCAGCTGCAGCAGAAAGATATATGTATGAGATGAGCTAAAACTGAGAAAATAGAAAAGAAAGAGCCCACAGTTTTGTCCCCCTCCTTACATCCCTCCCTCTCTGGCTGCAGATTGATCTTCCTCTTCCTGCTGATTCTAACTGGGGTCTGTCATTATCTTACTCTGTCATTAGGGGCTCCATTGACAGCCTTGGCCTGTCTGTGTCACTCTATTGAGACAGCAACACTTTTCCCATGCAGTGTTCCCTACATTTATTAAAATCTCTGACAGCCTTGTCTTAGCTTTCTCCATAGATGGCTGAGCTTCAGGCAGCAGTGCAGCAGTGTAATTGGAAGACGAGGCTCTCTGTCCCTGGCTAGTAATATCTGTGAGGTACAGCTGTAGGTCAGACTGGTTTATATCAGACTGCTTGCTATGAAGAACAAAATCAGACCACCTCTGCCTGAGGGTCTGTGTCTGTGCCAGCATAGACTCTACATTTATGACTATATCTGTGAACCACCTGTGTAAGAGCAGTTTTCATGCATCAGTTTTTGGGTAAAAATAATATTTCCAAACAAGGGACAGTATACAAATTACTAGACAAGGGAGGGTCAGAAAAAAGGGAGGCTTGTGTATTTTTTCTTTTTGCTGAAAGTGTTTGTTAGGGGGTGTTTCACCTTTATTTGATAGGACTGCTTAAGATAGACAGGAAAGACTAAACCTCGGTACATGGGGCGCTTGCAGCTCTACCAGGGTGCTCCCTAATTAAACCTTAATATGTTAAAGGAGCAATAATAATCACCAAATCACACATTATAAGTAGAATTAACTATTGGTAAAGTCCTGGTAAACAGTAAAATGGTGCGTCCTGTTAACTGAACATTACAGCTTTTAAATGAACTGTTATTATCGCTGCTGTTGAAAGTTATGTCAGATGAGGTTGTAGCCTGATATAGAATAAATTAAATCAAATATGGGTTGAGAAAAATAACCCTCCCCTCTTCTCTCCAATGAAGTCAGATTTCCCCGCCTACATCAAAGAGAAAAAATACATGACCTTTCATGCGGTCCCTTACTATTGTCGAGGTAAACAAACCTGTTTGGAAAATTAAAATTTAATATCACAACAGCTGCTACAACTCAAAGAATTACTGTAGATTTAAGGAGCCAATTTTGTTTCAGTTTCCAAATAATAATAAATATTATGCCAGATTTCAATGTGAAACAAACTGAAAACAGAAAATGAAAGAGCTCCGAAAGAAGTAACCTAAACAGGTTTATTCTTACAGTCTTTACATAACCTACATTTCTGATCATATGATTATTGTTTTGTTGTATTCTCTACACCCTGGGCTATTACTGTAGGGACTTGACAACTTGAAAACATTTCTGGAGGCTGTCAGGAAGTGCACAGTGGGGTGCACTGTATCGAGATTGGTGGTTTGTGGGTATGTGTGTGTGTGTATTTGTGTGCTGCTACACAAAAAGCAACGCTGAGTATAGGCTGGTGGTGGGACCAAGCTGCTTCTCCGTGTTACAGGAGCCACAATCAGGTAGGACCAGGGGGTCTCTGGCTGTCTTGGCCCCCGTAACACACGAGGCTGCTCAATGGGACGGAAGTTATTGGGGGGTTGGAGTGAAACTGATGACATGGTGTGTGACAGAGACTCATCATTTGAGCGTGATACAAGTATTTGAGCTGCAAGGCTGTAATGTTGCTCGGCTTGTCTGGAAAGATTTATTCCAGATTGCAGGGCCTGAGGGGTCAGTGGCCCTACATGTGGGAGGCTTTTCTGGAAAAAAAAAAGCAGCTTTTGGGAAGGGGGGGTTGGACATAGTGATTCAACATGCAAGAATCAGTCGGTGGAGGGGGAGAAAAGAAAAATGATTAGTCTACATATCTAATATCTCTCTATTTATAGACCAGTGCTGAACATTTTAATGATAGTTTTCCCAAAACACAAAGCCTGGAGCTCTCTCACAAAACATGGTGAAGAGTTAATTCAGTATTTGCTTTCATGCAGATGTGTATATGTTGGAAACTTCCTAGAATACAATGAATTTCTGTCTCCACACAACTTGAATTTACGGCCTCGCTCCTGCTTGACGGAAAAGGAGCTTTTATTTATTTTTTATTTTTTTTCCAGGGAGGAAAGAAGAAATGTTTAATCCAACACCCACTGTGAAACGAAAAAGTAATGCATATCTCACTATCTCGCCTGTCTCCCAGCGAGATGAAATTGAAATTTTAATGCATTTCAGAGTTTTTCCCCCCGAATGGAGAAGCTGATAGACACAGGGATGTCATATTTACAGTATGAACACCCATGGTTTAATGCACTCCATAATACTGCCATCTCCAAGTTCTCCTGAACAAAACATGTTCTGCTCTTGAACATAAAGGAAAGGCAAAGAACAAAATTATTCCTCAAGCTTTCTATCAAGCTTCTGCATTCATGGCAAAGTCTAAAGGGCATGTCAGTCCTCCTGCCTCTGAGAGAGGTAATTATCCTTTTCCTGTCAGAGAACAACAAATGATAGCCAACTATGGGGGTGCATTTTCAGGAGCTGAAATTTGTCAGTTGGAAGGAGAAGGAGGTTTAATTTTCTGGCAGCTGCATATCTACTTTTATCATGTTTTTTTCAATGGTCATTTGTTACATGTTTTTTTCTATTCACATGAGCTTGCACATGGGGTAGTGCTGTTTTTTTTTTTTTTGTCTGTGAGCTTCTGAGGGTGTATTTATGTGCCCTGCATTAACATACCTATTTATAGTCCTGCACTTTCTTACAGTCATCTTTTTTTTTCTGTTGTGACCATTTCACAGATTATATATTGTCCAAGTAATTTCCCTTTCAGCATCTGTGTTTTTTACCTTTCAGAGAAAGCAGTGAATGGAGGGAAAATTATCACAATTACTCATATAATTGAGCCGTCTTTGTAGCAAGTGCAGCTTCAGTAGCCCTTTTTTTCCATCAGCCAAAATGGTTTCATTATATGGGTTTTTCATATTCCCTGACACAGGGCTCTGCTGAGGGCCTGGCGCGTGGATGAGATGCAGGATGAACAGAGCGAATCATTAAGGTCACAGTAGGAATAATTATCCCAGCTATGGAAAGAGCATCAGCCTTTATTCTCCCCCAGCACAAATGCAATGTCCACGGCTTAGAACTTTGTTACAAATGGAGTTTCCACCTTCCACTTATACAAAGAAGAGAGGGGGAGAGCAAGACTTGTATCAACATGACAATTTTCCATCATTAAGACTAATGACAGGCACAGACTGTGGGGATCAAGGGGAGCACAAAAAAGAGAGGCACATTCAGGTGTTGGCTGAGTGCTGACCTCCTTCCTGTCTTTGTTGGAGACTTAACTCTTAACAAAAACTAAAAAGGGGGTTTCAGACTAAAGGCGCAGTGGCAGCTGAACGTCAAGCAGCCCAGCTCTCCATGGGCAAATGACTTAATTGGTAAATTTGCATGTTTTCCATTTGCAGGGAAATTAATTCAATAAGACCTACATGTAAAGATAATCAATCGTTGTTTTAGTGTTGGTGAAATAATTCCCCAGCGTATATGTTACAGTGATTTTTATTCCCTCAGTCCAACTTTCTCACATCCCTACACGACTGAGAGTTTATTAAATTTCAATTATCCTTAAAATTGATTATCTGGTTAGTTGACGATTTGATTCCCAGATCTTCACTTAACAGGTGAGATATTGTAACATGTAGCAAGTATGAAGCGTCAATGTGACACTAGTTTCTTTTACAGTTTAGCTGAATTAAGTAAAAGCCATATTTTTCCAAGTCCTTTCTCCCCAGCCTTCACTCAGGTAATTGGTCATTTTGCAGCCAATTTCGGGCAGGTTGGATGCTTGCTGCCATGGCCTGACCCCTGCTGCTGCTGTAATGGGGACAGCATTTCTACCAGTTCACTGGGGGCTTTTCCACACAGCTTTTCTGAGGAGAGAGCTGCTCTGAACACTGAAGGCAGAAAAGGAGTTGAAATATGACTTCTCAGCTCTGCAGTGACCAAGATGCAAGTCCTATTATAGATGTGTTAATTATACGGTCCTTCTTTTCATCCGCACAAGAATTATTTGCAGCTCAAGAGAGTTTCATTTGCTGCAAATAAAAGAGTTGCTAAGGTTCAGAATTTCCCATTTAGGGATCTGCTTGCATTTGCAGTAAGTTACAAAATGAAAATGTACGAAGGAGGAAAACATGCCGGATAAAAAACAACACAAACATAAAAAAATAAAAAAGTACAAATACATCATTAGTATTGAATTAAATGCCACATTAACTGGCCTTTTATTTATATTATTGTCTGTCGTCTATAGAGCAACAAGTCCAGTTTGGAGTCCCAGGAGCGTTTGGTCAGTACTTCCCAAACTGATGTGATACAGTTTCCTCACAGAGTCATCAGTGCCTGTAAACACACAAAACAATCATTATTATCCTGCAGACAATTTTACAAACAATCAACACAGCTCCATTGTTTCATTCTTTAATTGCTATAGAAAAAATTTAAAATATTTTGGCTGTCAGTAAAGGAAATTATTCAACTTTTTAGTGTGTGTTAAAAGTGTAATATGTGATCCAAATATATATATAAAAAAAGAGAAGCCCAGACGCCATCATTTAAAACAGGACCAAACAGACTGACCTTTTAATGAAATTAATGCAGAGTTATTAATGTTTCCAGGTGTTTATAAACACCCAAAGTCAATTATTGTCTAATGAGAGACAAATAAATGTTTTTAATTTAGAAGTCAAATCATCTGAATAAACCTTTAATTTATATGGGCATTTAAAAAATAAAAAACATCATTCATTTTTATTATAATTTAATTCCAGGGACCATAAAGTGTGACCTTACTGGCTGGTAATGAAATCAAATATTAAAATCTGATTATCACACAAAAGTAAACAAGCCAATGTGTTTTTTGTTTTAACACATTAAATTATTGTGAGTACATTTGGTTTTGATTGTTATATAATGTTAAATATTTTTTATTCTTCTCTATTTTATGAAAACTATAAAAAAAAAAACTTATAATATAATTTCATTTTCTCCATGTATCCTCCTGACCCTTATGATAATGCAATCAATTAACCAATATAACAATCTTCTTTCTCAGATGTTACGATTCATTATCTGTTTGCATGCAACTCAGTAAACAAAATCAATTCATATTTTGATGCCACATTGAACATGAAAATAGACATTGAATTTAGTTAATTGTAGTGCATCTAGTTTGCGTTCATTGACGCTGCAAATTACAGGATGGCAGCGAGCAGCAAAGCCAGAGAGGAAGCAGAACAAAAGGCAATTTCACTTGTTTGATCCACTGTCCTTTAAAACGTGAAATAAAACCTTAATATAGTGTGACATTTCTGCTGGAAGTCACTCACTAAATCCCATTTGCATGTGTAGCTCAGGTGATGATAATAATGTCTATAATGGGCAGTTTCAGAAATGGTGAGCTCATGTAAAAAAAAAAAAGAGAGAAAGAAAAGAGACATCAGTGTGAGAACAATTTGTTTTTGTTGTGAATTAGTATATTTGAGAGGCATCATGTTATTGAGTACATGCATCTAAGTGACAGCTTATAAAAGTTGTAGAAATGTATTATAATTTAAAAAAAAGGCTTTTCTTCTTTTGCATTTGCAGATACAAAATGATCAAATATCATCATAAATGATCAAATCTAAAGCTTGAAAATAAAAACCAAATCTAATAAAATAGACACATATACACCTGCGTGATGTGCAAGCTGCGTTTTGTCTCCTTTATAAGGAAAGGGAAACACACACACAAAAAAAACCTCACAGTTGCCTGCACCTCCAATGACAATAATTAATCACTGCTCACATGCAGAGTCTGCAGGGTGCACATGGAGCTGTGCCTTCACACAGCATGGACACACAGTTTACCAACGCACCGCGGTCGGGATAATATTTAGTGGCTGTGAAAATGTGGGTTGGCATGGCAGTTGAGGAGGGCTTTCTACCACCGGACTGAAATGAAGTCTGTGACATCTTGGCCCGTTTACCCCTCCAACCCCCCCACCACCACCACCTCCCCTCCTCTTTCTGTCTCTCCACCTCTGCACTAACCCTCAGGTGAAGAGCAGCAGGTGTTAAAACACCCTCAGCCACAGAGCTACTCACTCCTAATGAGCCCTGCCTCCGCGCTCCATCCATGCATGGAGGACTTTATTTTTAGTGTGGCTAGTTAGAGCCCTGCTGCCATGCTTCAGGAAGGACCGCTGCTGGCCTGCGCTGCCCTCCTGCCAGCGAGCCAGGAGTCAAATAATAAATTAAAGTGGTAATATTATCACGCGCCTGCTCATCCTAATGACACCGAGAATGGCTTGAGAAACCCCCCCCCAATAAATAGTTAATCCTTTAAGTTGCAAGCAAATCAACACTTTGTAAATGATTGATTTTGCAGAAGGCATCAATAAAATGAATATGATTTATGCAGCATAAGTCTGTTCAGCCCTAAATCACATTTACTTCAACAAAAAGCCTGTAATTATTAGGCCCTATTGCCACTATTAGTCGTACACTCGTGGTATTATTTTACAATTTTCTGCAAATTCTGCCTCTATTCTGTTAATGGTTTTGCTCACAGCCGCGTGCCAGTTTGCAGATACTATAATCGTGGGAAAATAATGACAGTTATCAGTCGCACCCACCAAGTACCCATAAAAATCTGTCCTCTGTTCTGGAAGATGATAATTATTGGTTGTACTACCATTATCATTGTCGTTGTTGATAGAGGAAATCTTGAAGCATTTTTCGAAAGTAATTCCAGAGAAATCACTTCAAATTGGCCTATTTTAGGGGGGACAAGGGACCAGCTTTCGTTATAGCCTAATATTGCACAGAAATCTTTAAATTCAGGCATCCGCAGCCGCCTGGCACACTGTGGCACACGTGCCGTGATGTCAGCGCCTGCATTTTGATAACACATTTTGCAACTTGCTAGTTCTGTTTTGAGTTCAATTATGTAATTACACTGATAATCACAGTGACGGAATTTAACTGCCTTTAATTTGTTATTCAGGTGGAGACGGAGGGACTGCGGATGGAGCAGCCGGGCTGTGTCTCTGCACCGCACAGACACCAGAACAAGAGCTGCAGCCTGCAAATGAATACTAAAAAAATGAAGACCTGCTGGATACTTTCTCCTGCTTCTTCTTCTTTCACCAAGTGCACCCTGCGGAGGCTCTCTGACCTCGGATGGCGCCGATTTATCTGCTTCTTTTCCGTCACATGATTTTTAAAGTAAGTGGTCAGCTGCTGATTGAAATTAAGATTTTTTTTAAATATATATATATAAATCTGGATAAACTCTGCTTACAGGCTGCAGCAGTGGTCCTGTTTCAGCTTTGAGATGAGGAGGTCTAAACCTGCAGCACAAGAAGAAAAAAAAATGTCTCCTATGTTTAGTCAGTCGTCAGTTCAATTAAATCAAATGTCCATGGATAATTATTCTTGTTAGGCTGTGGGAGGCGGGCCGCTCCCCCATCCTCACTCATAGATTCATGCTAATCAAAGGTGCCAGTGTTTAACAAAACTGTGACCATTAATTGATTGCGATAGAAGGCGCGTAAAGTCGTTTGGAAAGCATTTAAATGTGATAAGAAAATAGGCCCGTGTGCCTTCATGGCTGTGTTATACAACAGGCGATAGCTGGCTTGGGGGGGGGGAATATCCATCCGAGCAAGAAAATATAACCAACAATTTCCCAGGATTATGTTTCTGTATTGTGTTTTTATTTTATTTATTGTGAAAGAATCCATCATTAAAACTGTTGCCTTATCGAAGTCGTTTAAAATGGGCTATATGTATATATATAGAAGCTCTGTCTCCATTGTAGATGTATATAATATATCTCACTTTGATTTAATTCCACATTAAGCTCGTTCATTTAAATACTTTTTATTTGCCATTTTGTAGACTGCGATGTTATTGTGTGTTTTTCAGGTGTTATAAAACATCATTAGGGCCTGTACCTGAACCAACAAGCCTCGTTTGACACCAGAGCAGGACTGTTTGATCGTCCCACTGCTGCCAGGTGTAACTGAGACCTCAAGCCACTGTAAGTGTTAAATACATGACTAATTACAGACCTACTTATGAAAATTGAACGGTAGTGTTATGCTAATACACCTTTCTCCAGATAGATCAGGAGCTTCAATTAAAATAAAAGAAAAATCTAAAAAATGCTGTAATCAAACTGGCCAGCAGGAAAGAGCAGTTTTAACGAGGTTGGAAATATTATTTAACGTTATTAAGTGACGTTTAGACGGATATATGACAACCGGTACGTTTAACACAGTGAGACAAACCTGATTTTACTATGTTATCGAGAGCTGTGCCAATATAAATGACCATGTTTCAGTAAATGCTACAGTTTCTGGACAGTGCGGATCAGAAAAAAGATGTCATCACCTTATATGTTGATTGAATATGATCAATATTTATCTAAAATTGAAGTTATATTTTAATGGATTTTAAATAATAATAATAATAATACATATTATAATAATAATAATAACAATAATACAAATAATAATAATAATATAGTGAATCTTGACGTGTCAAGAGGAAATATTAGGTTTTGTGGTTTTCCTTGACTTTATCAGGTTCTTCGGACCCAGCCCCAGCGTCGCCAATCGGCTTCCCTCTTGGAGAGAGTGGACCAATCAGCGACAGTCTTTGATGAATATTCATGAGTCCGAGATTCAAACCTTTGAGCGAGTTTGTCTTGGTCCACAGCATCATACCTGGGACTTTTCACAGGCACAAACTACATTTTCTTATGAATGGAAAGAGAAAAAATCAGTTCGGCTTAAATTGGGACTCATCCTTCACTGAGATCATAGAAGGAAAACAACAAAAGCAGGACAAGGGGAACCGCAAGAAGAGATGACAATGACTACAATTCCAGAAAGTCTTAATAGCCCTGCCTCAGGAAAAACCGTTTTCATGGAGTTTGGACCCCCGAGTCAACAAATGTCGCCTTCCTCCATGTCTCACGGACACTATCCCATGCACTGTTTACATTCTGCAGGTCATACGCAGCACGACAGCTACAGTCCAGCCTCGTCGTTCCCCAGATCTTTGGGTTATCCATACGTAAACTCCGTCGGCAGCCATTCCACCAGTCCATATCTCAGCACAGTACAGACCTACCAAAACAGCTCGGCGCTCACACAGACGCGGTTAGAGGATGCAGGTAAGTGTGCAACAGCATCTTTGGATCTTAAATATATCGACTTTCTGTGTTTGGCATGGCTTTCTACTGTATACAGTCCCCGCTGCATCGAAAAGGCGACCCAGATGTTGGAATTAGGCTTGGTAATTATTTAGGCTATTGCGTAACGCTATAAACAATGTATGCAATTAAGGGTAATTATACCTAAAGTACAGCCTGTAAAACTTGCGCTGGAGTATTCATAGCTGCGCAGCACTGTTGGCTACAACTGCCTCCTCATTTTTTTTTTTTTTTCTTGCTCTTTTCTGTCTCCCTCAGCGCCAGAAGCAGAGAAAAACACAGTGGTCGAAGGCGGAGAGGTGCGATTCAACGGGAAAGGGAAGAAGATTAGAAAACCAAGGACTATCTATTCGAGTTTACAACTTCAAGCTCTGAACAGGAGATTTCAACAAACTCAATATTTGGCGTTACCGGAGAGAGCTGAGCTGGCAGCGTCGCTTGGTCTCACCCAGACACAGGCAAGTCCCTGAAACCCCCTCACACATAGCTTCACTCTGCAGCAGCACCACTGGACATTCACACATTTTCAATGTCATTTTTATTCCACAGCATACATTATTATTATTATTATTATTATTATTATTATTATTATTATTATTATTATTAGTATTATTAGTATTGTCGTCGTCGTCGTTGTTGTTGTTGTTATTTAGGCTGCACTTCATATGGAAACAACATTCATCAAACAATAACATCATGTTCAATGTTTTTTTTTATTTGAATATTATTTGCTGTCATTTATGTTTTATTATCAATTACATCTTAATACGATAATATCATAAAGGAAAGCAGGATATTAATATTTTATTATTTTCCTTTGTATGATTAAACCTCCTGCGTGCGTAAAACGTGCGTAATTATTTCAAAACTGTCCTTTAGTCTTCTCTTCAACTTTATATTCCTACTTTCTAATCCTGATGACTTCCTTTGTCTCTCCAGGTGAAGATCTGGTTTCAGAATAAAAGGTCTAAATTCAAGAAACTGATGAAGCAAGGCGGTGGCACAATTGACGCCAATGCTTTGGCCACTGGCCGCGGACTGTCGAGCGGTTCTCCCTCGGTGGCACCTGTCTGGAGCTCGCCGACCACCGTGAAGACTTCAGTGGGGACAACCGGATCTTACATTCCCAGCTACACCTCATGGTATCCAACCACACACCAAGAGTCTATGCAACAGTCACAGCTCATGTGAACAGAGACCTCAGCCCTCGACTCTGCCATGGCTCGTGTATCAGGATGTTGAAGGGGGCCTGTAGCCGCTCAGCGCGGTCTAGCACTGATAACACACAACAACAAGAACCCCGGAGTGAGTCTGCTGCCGCATGCCGCCAGCTGACACAGTGGCCTCCTCATACCGGATGACGGCAAGCAAGGGATTGAAAGACTGAGAAGGCACGCAATGCGCCCAAGGGCAACAAGTCCATGACAGTCAGCGGAAACCGTCGACAAATGGATCCTTTTATTGGCTGCTGTTTATCACTTTTGTGTCAGTTCCTATTATTATTATTATTTTTTTTTTAAATCATATTTGTGTGAGTTATTCTGTTTATAAGAAAACACGTGTTTGTTTACACCAGATGTCGGGCCCAAGGTGATGATGACCTAAAAATCAATCTGCATTCATTAACAGTTAATGGTCGATTAGGCCATAGGGGTGTCTCTTTAACCAAATAATAACGATTCATAAATCCCACTAGCAACCATCAGGCCATTATGCCTACAGTACATTCAACCGGAGCATATTGTGCGAAGCCTCAACTTGCTACTATGTTTATATGTGTTTGTTATTTAAGTTAAATTATTCAGATGAGTTGTTTTCTTTCTGTTGAGGTCGGTGTGTGTTCACTTTGTAAGTGTGTTTGAAATAACAACACTGTGTTGTTAATGCTGCACTAACGCAAGCAAAGCTTTTCTATGCCGTGCCCCCCGATGTTATGTGAAAAATGTAAAAGGCCTGACAATTCTGCTGCTTTAGAAAAAAAAAATATCCCGAGGGTGAGCAGCTCATTTTGTCACTGTATTTTGTACATAATTTTCAGATTTGTTTTTGTGCTGTACTGGATACGCTGTGAAACAGGGTTTTAGGCTTTCTGTATTCGTCGAGATGTGTTTAGTCAACATAGAAAATATTTAGTTTTGTATTGATCACTTTAATTTATTTATCTGTTTCTGAAGTTTATGTACAGAATGTGCAAAGTTTCAAAAGCAGTAAAATAATGATTTAAATTATGTCAAGAAAGGTGTCTGATTCAACCTCTCTCCATCCCTCCCTCCCTCCCTCCCTCTCACCTCCTCTCCTGTGGAAAGAAAGGCTTCAGCATGGTGCACGTTTAATGTGAGCTGACACAAAGCAGTATCATGTTGGTTATTGTAGCAGACACCACGTGAGTACGTTTGTGTTGAGCTGCAAAAAAAGGCTCGTCATTTAGATTTATGGTCGTGTTGTAGCATTTAGCCTACACGGGGTTTGTGCCGCATTGCTCACGTGGTTGCAGATGTTTTCAAACCTCTGGAGTGACCCCATAACCTGAAATCTGATGGTGCATCTTAAAACAAAAAATAAGAGTCTCTATGTGCAAGCTACACGGAAAGATATGTACATGTGGTTCACATAAATTTTTACACTTTAAATGGAGAATACTATAATAAAAGGGGAACATAGATTAGAGAACCGCTGGGGATCCTTTGTCCGATATGAGCTGCATCATTCATATGATTGTGATTTAACCGTCGGCGGTGCGGGAGACCTCGATTCATTCAACAACATCGCTTATTTCTTTTCAGCTTTCTTCTTAAAGATAATCTTCCTTCTATTTGTCTTCCGACAATCCCCATTTCCCGCCGTCAATGGAAGAGATCAATTGTGTGTGTGTTAAGTGAATAATTGCGCAAGAGGCAGGTGCTGCAAAAAAAGACTGGATGAGCAAACGGGACACAAGGCGGATTAGAGATCAGTGCAAGTGGAAAAATCAAAGTTTTTTCTTTTATCTCACTCAAGATGATTTTAAAAAGAAACTACACTTGCCCTTGAGACAGGAATTATATGTCCATTCAAAGAATATTAAAATTGCTGGTTATGCTACTAAAATAATAATAATAAAATAGAAGAATATGAAGAGAAAGAAACAATATTAAAAAAAAAAAATTCTGACTTGTTAATGTTTTGTGCCTGAGAGGAAAATAATGAAAAAAAGAAATTAATTGTAAACGCGCGACTTGTATCTCTCCTCCAGCTGCCTATATAGGTTATATATATAGATATGTATATATATATCTCTATATATATAGATATATATACAGGTTTTATTCAATTATAATGACACATTTTATAAAAATTGTACAAAGTGGCCAATATGAGTCCATAATGAATCATAACTTAATCTATAATTTATTTAATGTTTGTTAAAAATCAGACCATCATAATGGTTTATTATTACTATTATTGTTGTTGTTGTTGTTGTTGTTGTTGTTGTTTAATGAATACTGACGCCGTTTTATACTTATAGGCCAATAGTGCCACGCTTTAAACTATCTTAAAGCTTCGGAGGAACTAAAAAGAAAAATAATCTCTGTCCTAGTTCATCTACACTGTCTGCTCCTTGTAACATCCTCTCCGCTCTGTCTCCAATGTTATTTTAATACATAAAACTCAGAACATATGCCATCCTTTGTGAACAAGCCTACATAAGTAGAACAGGGCTATGTATATTTCGATACCATTAAGAAATAATATGAATTGTGCTGCTGCTGCTGCTGCTGCTGCTGTAGCGAACATAAATCTGCCTACCTAGCCCCTAGAAAAGGCGCAGCTGCACATCCAAGAGGGTCAGTGTTATTTCGCTGTATTCTCCCCTTGATTATACAAGCTGAGCCCATCAAACCCAGCATAATTACAGTAATTTCGCCCTTATTTATTCTAATGCAGTTTCCTATCTCTGAGGTAATTATGAGCATTTTTTTTTCCCCGCAAGGAGGATCTTTCTGCGCTGACAAAAGAGATAGTGCTCTGAAAGAAATTTGCTGCTGCAATAGAGAGAGAGAAAAAAAAGCGAAATAGGTGAGCTGCCATTTCGTCACTGTTCCCTTAGACTTAGCCTATGTATAAGGCTGGCAAATTGCTTGCAGGTGTACATCACCGAGTTGTCAATGCGAAGAGGCTTCAAAATTAGCAAAGCACAATGTAAGAGTAATGAGAGCAGCGACTGAATTAAAGGGGAACTTGTGTCTCCCATTCCTTACATTTCCTCTCGGTGTGAACAGATTTTCAGCTATATGACTTTTTTCTAGCTCTTTGGTTGCTTTTTTCTTTTATTTCTTTTATTTTAACTAAAGTTACAGGGTAAAAAAAAAAAAAAAAAGATCTTTACTCTTAAGGAACCTGTCTTTGAAAATAGTTTTATAAAATCATCAAAGAATCAGCAGCATTCACCGATTTGACTGAGAATAAAAATAAATAAATATTGCAGGCGTGGAAATAAAAAAAGAAATTGATAATTGTGCCTGCACCGAGAATCAACTCATATTTCCTGTTTTTTTAATGATCTCAAATGCACTTTTTTCTTTTTAAACGAATATTTGAGAAATAAAGTTTTTTAATACGCACCTATCGGCTTGAAAAGGAAGAGGCGAGCTCCCTCATAGGATCTCCAGACATCAGCATGGAGGCAGATGAAGCAGCAGCAGCAGCAGCAGCATCCTGCAGCACAGACACACAAAAGATGAGCGCTTAAATCCCACAAAATGTGTCCCATGTGTTGGTCTAAGCTTATTGCAGCAGAGTTCAGAATATGACTGAAAATGTCTGCTTTATTTCCCTCTCTTTATAGCTGATGGGGGAAAAAATGTAGATTATTAGCATAAATGTTTACTCCTCATTACGCTGATGACATTGTGCACTCGAGATCTTGGTAATCTTTGGGGGAAATTATGAGTAATTTTTTAAAATTTAAAGCAGCAGTTACCATGCAATTCAGGCTAATTCTGCGTAGGCTCCACACGGATATAATTATCGTTGAGTCAAGATGTTAGGCTAAAAACTATGCATTGATATTCCCATTTATCATGTACATAGGACTTTGACAATGTTGATGCTTGAAATAGCAGGAAATTGTCTTGTGTAAAAAATAACACCCCATATTAGGACATCTAAAATTGCGAAGAATTATATAGTAATTACAGGCTTTCAGATTTGAAAGCCAGAATGCTCAAACCAGAGCAAATGCGGATGAAATAACAGATCAGGGTATAAATTAGGAAAGGGGGTATGGCATTTACAAGTTGCCTAGAGAAATGCAAAAGTATACAGCACAGTAGCTCTGGAGAAACAGTAAACATTTCGGAAATCCCTTTATTCTATGTTATTTTGTATTGGAAAGAAATCGATAAAATAGTGCCTATATGAGTATTATATTCATTAATATGTAGGCTACAGCTGGTTAAGGCCTATAAGGCAGAAGTGAATATCTAGGAGAAATACAGGATAATATTGTGTAATTTCAGCCCATAGTGCAGTGATCATACATGCACTTACACTCTCTGGGCATTACAAATTGAATCAAATGGCCCCACACAAAAGGTATGGGCCCGGATCCATGCAGATGTGATGTGTTGGTTTTTTTTTTTTTTTTTTTGCAGCATGCATGGGATCTGCTCCTGTCAGCTCCAGGGAGGAGGCTCCATCATGGAGATACAGCAAGCAACCGCTGACAAGCTACAGTCCTAATTATGTACAAGGAAACGATCCCACTTTATGGCCCGTGGTCGTTTGAAGGGAAGCGTGTGGGATAGACAGTGATGATCATGAATGAGAACTAAGTGATGTGACTGTGTATTAATAATAAGCCCCCCCCTTCTATCTATCTATCTATCTATCTATCTATCTATCTATCTATCTATCTATCTATCTATCTATCTATCTATCTATCTATCTATATTGTCAAAATAACCCTTAATAAGAGACCTAAATTAAACTGAAATCAAATAGGCCTTCCTGGCTGCAGCACATTTTTACTTTTTCTGGACGTGTGCCTCTGTTTTCCATGTAGCCTGCAGGCCTTACATGAGCCAAGTAAATAATGTAGGTCAATCTGCTCGTCTTCGGAGATCAGAGACTTTACTTGTGAGACGTGAGAAATGTTTCCATGATGTTGTAGCTCCAGGCTGTCTTGGACCTAGTTCCTCTCTTTTTCTCTTGTTAGGCTGAGTTCATAAAACGTCTGGAAAGCAGCTCTCCGACTCCACAGAGTCTGAGCTTGTGCTCATTCATACCCACCCTCATCTTCCCCTCTCGCATGCCAAGGCGTGTTTGTTGTGTTGCCTCCTTCCTCCTCCTCCTCCTCCTCCTCCTCCCTCCACCGAGCCTGAGCCCCGGGCCTCTGAGTCTCCCTCTGCCCGCCTGAATGAGAACCCCGGTTCGGCTAATCGCCCGCTGACGGAGCCGGATAAAATCATTATTAACCCGAGACTGCTGAGGAATTTGTTGAAGCTTGTCCACACTTGTGAAAGCACCTTAATGTCTTTGTAATCGCAAAACAACATATTATTAGATAAGAAATAGCTTTTAATGATCGGCTAACGTTAGCCTTAAAGTCCAACTGTGGAGCTAACACGGTTGCTAAGCAACACATCAATAAGCTATCAATAAGCTAGGCTAGGCTATTAATTTGTTAGCTACAGGTGTGCGTTTAAAAGAGAGTTTTAGCCTTTTACAGCAACAATACAGGTAAATATAGTTTAAATAAATCACTGTAACATGTTTGTGTCAGTCTGGACCCATTAACATATCGTAGGAGTTTTCTTAGCTTAGTCAATTTGTAATAGCATTTAACAGCTAAGCTATGTTGACGTCTTGTAGCTAATGTTAAATAAAGATTCATTGTTTGCTTTAAAACATGTTATTAGACTCACTGCAACACAAGTAAGGACACAAATTCTCCTCATGCACTCATAAATGGTTGTTAGGAAGAAAAAAGAGAAATGTATATCCACAGAAAACATTTTATTTAAATAACGTCTGGCCATATATGGAGCACTGCTAAAATAAATAAGACAAAAATACAATTAAATGTGATACAGGTAAATCAGAGGGAAGGACAATCAGTAGCTTACGGTGGATAATTAATGGATTTGCACCAATAGCATTAAAAAAAGAGTCAAAGCAACATGAGCTATCAAAATAATAATAATAATAAAAAAAAAAAGATGTGGCAAAATATTTACAAACGTGGATTCAGACACTTACCCCCCAAGTTTATTCAAATCAACTAATGCCATGAGGAATGGATGAAGGTAAGCTGTTTTTTTTTTTTTTTTATCACAACAAAATGAGGTCATATTGAAAAAGGCACGATACAGTTAACTTGTGCTACATTTGTGACAGGTTGTCCTGCGATTCATGTTTTATTTGCAGGAATGGCAAAAAAAGTGACGTCCGCGTAAAAGTATAGGCTTGTGCCAGGCTGTGATTGCTTTGGGTAATAGTGGTTCATTCATCCCTCGACATAAACAAAATAAATAAATACAAAAATAACTGTAGAAATCTGTGTCTACCATTTTGCCAGCGCGAAAACTGGCAAGGTCCATGAACCTGTCTGGCTCCATTAACTTCTCCTAGATGCTTTTTTTTTTTTTTTTGCGTGTAAAGTTCGCATGGCGCACACACGAGGTCTGTAAAATCAAGGTATTGGCATTTGTCTGTTGTTGTTTTTTTTTTGTTTGTTTGTTTGTTTTCACCAGTATCGTCCGATTTAAACCCGATGTTTGTTTGTTTTGTTATTCAGAATATCGTCCCAGCGCTTATGGCGGAGTTGTGGTGGTGCTGGACCAGAGGAGGCTGCAGATGCGTCGCAGAGTTCGTGGTTGAGTACCAGGAGTAGTTTGCCAAAAAGGATGAAGGCGTGTTGGGAGGGCTGCTGCTCTGAGGTAAACTGGAGTTGACACTGTTCATTCTTTGAGTCTGTGGAAAGTCCCAGGCAGTAACTGGCGGAGACGTGCAGGGGGGAGATTCACTGGAAGCAACATGTTGCTCTGGGGGGATTTCTCCACTTTTCCATAACTTCTTGAACTTGGAGCGGCGGTTTTGAAACCAGATTTTGACCTGAGAAATAAACGGATACAAGCAGAAAATTGATTAGCCATATATTTCCCGGCTCAAATCCCCATTTGACAGTTTTTAAATTTATTTTCAGTGTTAGACACACATTGGATATTTGACAGTGTATGAACCCACCTGTGTTTGTGTAAGGCCCAGCGAGGCTGCCAGCTCGGCCCGTTCTGGTAGAGCCAAATACTGCGTCTTTTGAAACCTCCGTTGAAGTGCAGCCAGTTGGAAGCTGGAATAAATGGTTCGAGGTTTTCTGACCTTCTTTGGTTTTCCATTTACCATCCGGATTTCTGGCTCGCTCTCTTCTTTCTCTGAGGGAACATTCAAATGTTATTGACGTTATGCGTGAAGGACACGACCATTTGTGTGGTTGCATTGAGATATTACGCATTTAGTTTTTAGTTTTTTCATAAATACGTGTACACCTAATGATTCATTTGATTTTTATCATATTGTAATATTATAATACCGAGAAATTAGAAATAGTCAAAGCTTGCTTGAGAGTTGTGTTTGAAAATAAAATAATTGAATAGTCACTATCAATGTTGTGTGCGCATCTGTGCTGTGTGTGTCTAATAATTTCTGACCACATAAGTCAAATATGTGTTGTGCATGATTCAGCTTGTTGAATTTTTATGCCATAAGCAAGTTTTGAAATTGGTCCCAAACAAATGCATTAACTAAATTTAAATGTATTAAAAATAACAATAGAGGAGCTTTCTTACCTGTATCGGCTGGAGTAGGAGAAGGGTTGGAGCCGTAGGAGCTGTATGCACCATAAGATGAGTTGAAACCGAGGTCGTATGACTTTGCGTTGTATGGCACAGTGCTCGTGGCGCTGCCGTGGTACTGGTAAGAGCCGAGTTGGCCAAATGGAGACCCTGCGCAGTGGCCGGGCTGTTGGCTGTTGTAATAGCTGCTGTCCGTCGCCGTGGACACTGGTAGAGTCGGGGACTCCTGCGATTTGTGCAAGCTGTGGTAACTGCTTGAGGTAATCTGGTTAGAATGCATATCAGTATTTAAGTTCTCAAAAACCCCGGTCATCTTCGAGCTGGAGCGCAGCAATCTCGTAACCTATGCGCAAAGAACACCAAAATTGCGAAGCTGCAAGCTGAAAAAACGACTCAAATCTTGGACTGATGACACCTTTCCGTGAATCGAAACGCATCCCCGTGTAAACTGTGGCAAAATCAGCGGAAGGTGTGTCACTCTCGCAGTGGCCTGTGATTATCTGCTACGGTCGGTGGTGGGAGCGCATTTATGAGAGAGTGAGAGGGAGAGCTACTGTGTCTGAGGCAACCAATGAGTAAGGGCTTCAAGACTGACTACTCCCCACCGCGTCCACCCTCCATTATTTGTTCAGGTCTGTCTGTCCCGGGTGTCTGCAGAGAGTTTTCCATCAAAGCATCTCAAAAGAATCAGAGAAAGGTACCGTGACCAACAGGCCCACTGCTCTTGATCCCATAACACACTCTGGAGTAATTCATCAATGTGCGCATATATCTGGAAGATATAACGTGACTCAACAACATATGGAGAACATGTACTACACATCAAAGGGCACCATTAAATTGGCTGTTAGTCGTCTTCATTTTAATTTTACGCATGTCAATATATCAGATTTATATCCATTTTCAGCACATTGTAGTAGCTTTGGTGGAACTGCGGGACTTTTTTTTATGTACTTCTTGTTTACATTTTGGTCTAAATCAAGTGAATATATTATTATATAATATATATATAATATTAAGTGACACTTACAAAAGGAGTCGCAGCCCTACAGAGAAAGGGAGGGACACAGGGTGGGTCAAAGGGGGATTTAAAGGTGTTGATTTAAA